AACTTCAAATATTTACAGCTGTAGCAGTCCAGGTTCACGCCCGTGTCGTTTAAGACAAGAAATGTTTTCCAGTATGTCTCAAATTTTCACCCTGGGCCCGCCCAGTTGTTCTAAAGATGAATAACGCTATCCATTGGATTAATCTCTATCTAGTGGTAACACAATTAGTTTCCTTAATACCTATCCTCTGGATAGTGATTTAGCCGGTTGACATGATGGATGGCGCTATCCAACGTTTCAACAACGGGGCCTGGGAAATACTACCTGGGGTAGGCCCGCAATAGACTGGCAACTCTTTCATGTAGGGTGCAAAGCAATGTTATAGAAACCTTCCTCACATAAATCTCCATTCAATTTCTAAAAGTAATATATAGATTCACCCAGGGCTAAAAGCGAAGCTCTCGATAATATTTATAGTTTTTTCAGACAAAATATAAAATCGTGTAATGCTAATCGGCGAAGGCAACGCCGGAGAACGGTGAAAAACAGCAATAGTTATAATTAGCAAAAAAGCAACTTTGCTTGTGCAGCACACTTTTTTTCTACATTTCTACAACGTGAATACGTGTTCTCGTTCACTTTTTTTTCACTGCCGCTCATTATCGCCTTGCATTGGTGGTCGCTAAAATTTCTCATTTTGTCACCGCCGCTACAAAATTTTCATGTCATTCTTCCAGCAGAAAAATGACTCCTTTGTTTTTTATCTCTCGCTCTAGATTTCTGTCGCCCTTTTTGTCGTTGAGCTTTCTGTCTTTCCCCTGCTCTATATTCCAAATTTGTGGACATCACAATTAATCTAAGCTAAATACTTTAGACAAAACGGATACAGAAACAATTTCCACTTTCCGTTTTCGTCTTTATTCAAGCTCTTTAGTTGTCTCTGCTTTACAAGACGGCGGTGGCTATGCGATTTCCCACCAAAATAACCTCGAATTGCATTTCGGTTGCCATACCAGTTGATTGAGTTATTTTACATTGGTATGTCTGCGGTGCGGACGGACGGTTGCTCGGGCAATTGTCTCGGATCATTTTCCTACCCATGGTGCTTCGCTGGAGCGCTTCGCGCGCGAGAGCTCCGCTATTATTTGAGAGAATTTGATAAGGATTAAAGCATTTTGCATTTGATTATCAGTTAACAATTATTTTACTGGGCAAATATTTAGAGGGAGTTGTCAACCTCCAATTTTTATCAATTCTTTGAATGAAGAAAATCATGAAACTATACTCATAATATCAATTACATTAACTGTTACTTTAATAGCATACGCGTACAGAAAATGGCCAGAGTGAATAGTAAATATTTACTTATTGTATCATACCCGTTAGCCTGATCCAATAAATGCCATTTTGTTTTCCATTATTGGTGTTGATATCTTTACATGAAAAACCTGGATTAGCTTTTGATCCATAAGAAGCTTTGGAACAGTCATCTGTAGAGGCGCAGTAGTAGGTATGGGCACAATGACAGTCGCAGGCATTGGAATATGAAGGGTCTGCCATGCATAACACGATTCCACTAACAATGAGGACTAGCATGGTTAGATGATGCATGTTAAATGAAAGTCTGTAAAAAGAACTAAAAAGAACAGACATTACCGTATTTATTCGAATAAGCGCCAGCCTCGAATTAGCGTCCACCTCGGAAAAGCGCCTATCCTAAAGGCAGAAAAAGTTAATAAGCGCCCAGCCTCGAATAAGCGCCCACCCCACCCAACTCCCTCCCACAAAACCTCCAATGAGAGGTAATAAGAGACCCTCCCGAAGACGGAGTTTTTTTCAGGGTATTGTACAGAAACCTTGCTTTGTTACATCTTCGCTTTTTGTTATTAGCATTTACTTTTTTGTTGCAAAATATACTTTTACGCTTGCTGAGAATGGTGAAAATTTAATAAGCGCCCACTCTCAAGGTCCAAAAATGTAATAAGCGCCCAGGCGGTTAATCGAATAAATACGGTATTACGGTTTAAAATGACACACCTTTTGTAGACTTCCAGGCTGATTAGAGATTCATCCAGCCGGCTAGTAAGCTCTCCATTTGGGGGAGTGATGAGAGAATCACGCGAGAGCTGCACTCGAAAGGAGACGCGAGTGCGAGGGAGGGGGGCGGGAGAAAGCAAGAGGGAAACGAAAGAAAGGAGAAAGAAAAGGCTAAATTCTACTTACTGCTTAAAGCGTCTTGCTAGGGAACAAACTGATTCTAGTATTTAGCTTACCTAAACTCCATCTTAATCTTCCGAAAGAGAGCTAGCTAGAGCAATTATTTTTACAGTGCAGGTCCTACTCAAGCTGAGAGATCACATTAATTTTTACAACGTCAATTTCAGTTTTCTGGGATTTGTACTGAAAGCGCCTGTAAAATGCAGCCTTGTGCTCAGATGCTCCTTGTTTTTGTTGCTCAGTATTAACAGATTAATAATCGAAGTGTTCTGTCGCGAGCTTAAACTGCTGGTCCTTTTTAGCGTATATCTTATAAAGAGAAAATTCCACAAGGTCTTTTATAACGCGCTAACAATACTTACAGCAATATAAAACTGTTTTGAAAGTTTCCAACGAAAAAGTTTTACAAACCCCTCAGGAACTTGTGAAGGCAAAAAGCAGAAAATAGCACAAGAATTGGGAATTTCACAACGTCAGTCTTTTCCTTGATTTAATCCTCGGGGTGTCCTTCAATTACTGATAGTGTACTGATTTTTAAATTAGCTTTATAGCCAGGTGAAAGTTGTATTGGCTCAAATCAAGGGTAGGAATTGATGAACTTGGGCCTGGGTACCTGACGAACATCCGAGTTGTCAGGTCACTGACCAACAGGTATTTTGGAGGCCCACTTCTCCGGGAGGAGACTCTCATATAAAAGTGAAGGGGCTGCTGAGAAGTTGTTGGAACACTAAGCACTACATAATAACCACCATACGGCGCACGGCCGCGCACCTATACAACACAATGAATCACCACAGAGTGCAGCTACCACACGGCACATCTATCACATGGTGCACCTACCACACATTGCACGGATCGAGGTTGCTCAATTACCTCACAGTGCACCGACCCAAGTTCTTCACCTACCACAAGGTCCATCTATGACATGGTGCACCTACCACACAGTGCGCCGACCCAAGCACTTCACGCACCTACCACACGGTGCACCTACCGCGTGGTTGACCCAGGTTCCTCAATTACCACACAGTGTACCGACCCAAGCACTTCATGCACCTACCACACAGTGCACCTACCGCGTGGTTCACCCAGGTTCCTCAATTACCACACAGTGTACCGACCCAAGCACTTCATGCACCTACACACAGTGATACTTAGTGCGATATAATTTTTTCCTCTACTTTTACTCTAATGGAATAAAATAAATTCAAGTTTAAAGACTGGCGTGAATGATATCACATGCACAGGCTTTTGAAAGCAAGCGATGGCCAAAGAAGAATAATTAATGGCCTTTTAAACCCATGTCACCAATTTTGCAACCAATGGATAATCACCGTCATATTCTAAAGATTGTCGCTCTAATTGCAATCATTGATATACGCAATCGCTAATTAAAAAACTATAAAACAACGAGAGAAATGAAGGGGGAAATTAATGGCTCCTGCCCATATATAACGCTGCCCTTATCTCTTATACATCCGGCAAAGGAATGAATATCCATTGACTAAGACGGAATCCATGAGGAGTAATTTCAATTTTTAGTGGACAAAAACTTTGTACCAGAATAATTCAAACAATATCGCATTCTTTTTTACATTTTTCAAGGGCTTATTACCTGCAATAACACCAGAGACCGAGCAAAGAAATGTCAAATTTCACAAGAATTGTGAAAACACAGGTAAAATTCTGAAAATTTCATCTGTAAGACTACCCTGGGTCCAGAGGCTTTTTTTCTGTCGTTTGCGGCGAAAATTGAGCGGCGAAGCCTCGATCGTGACGAACGGGAGAAAAACCCCTCTGGTCACCTCTGGTCACGGCAGTTACGAACCTCACTTCCATGAGTACAGATTTTGAACTCGGTCTCTGATTGGTGCTCGAATTTAGTCCCAGACCTTTCCGAGTGATAATGATCTACCAAGAACTCTGGAATGTTCCCCAGGAGCCCTAAAAACCGGTTTTTTTGGCTCGAAGAAACTTCAAACAAAGAAAAAGGCGGACGATGGTAGCGAATTCGAGCGAGCCGTTCTTGGTGCAGTACAATTTGCGTTGGATGTGTGATGCGAAAAGATGTGTTTGCGGTGCTTCCAACTGATGCGGGAAGTCTTTGATCTTTTAAATCGTTCCCGAGAGTATGTGCATATTTGCAGAATCGAGGGTTCAACTATTCTAAAGCGGCCGTCTTAGTTGTTGTTTGCCCGTTGACCACCTTGATTTATGCACACATGAAAGAGCTCAAAGATCATGCAACCTTGCAAACACAAAAATTATTTCCGCTCGATTCGCAAAGAAAACTCGGAAATTATTCATAGCCTTAAGGGAAAGTACGTTTTTTTATTTGGGGGGGGGGGGGGGGGGGGGGGGGGGCCGAATTTTTTTGCGAAAAAAGTCGTGCCCCCCCCACGTCCTGGAATGGATTAATGCATGACCCTTCAGAAACACCCAAACGAGAGCATCTGATCCCTCCCCCCCACCCCCCCTCTACCTGTCGAAGACAAAAATAACCGGAAGTTGAAAATAGCAAACTGGAAGTGTTTCTCATATAACCGCGTTCATCTGCGCACAAAGTAGTTAATTGCCTGGCGTGTGATTGTACGGTGAAAACTTGAAAATGGGAAAGGATGTACGAGGAATAGAAAGAGGGAAATGCAATGTTGCAGTGTTGGAGTGCAACCCCCACCAATGGCCCTGAGCCGGACGACTTCCAGAATCGAGCTCAGATTAAGCGATTGTTTGAAGAAAGTGAACTAGTCAGTAGGGACAGTGAGGCTGTTAGAAAGTTTTCAGATAAATATATTGTCCCCGAAAAGCTAGTGGCAGGGTATGTTGAGCACCTTGCCCAGATAAAAATGCGCAAGGAGAAGAAGAAAGAGGAGACTGAAAGGGATCGAATGGAACGGCTGAACCAGCAGTACAATGGCATTGACTTGGGTGGACTGTACAACTCCGATAAGCTGTCGTCCTTGAGGGTGGACGAGCTATCCTTGTACTTTTCCCATCACAAGATCACCTTCAAAGGGAAGAGAGCTGAAAAGGTCGCAATGATCAAAGCGCACATTGGCAGCTTGCCTTACAATTCAATGGAGCGTCAACAACTTCGGCAGCCCCAGCGAAGAAATGTGAGGCAACAAGCGACCTCATCACTTCCGAGGTCGAAACTGACTCGCAAAGTGATGTAGTAGATCGAGTTCTCGGTTCAAGCCCGAGTAGCTTATGCAAGAAATCCTCATCGGAGACTGATTTCATACCAGAACCCCGCGCGGAAGCATCAAAATATGGGCGAAAGCGGAAACGGGTCGAGAGAGACAATTATGTTAGTTGGGAGAAGATAGTTTTTTGATATATAAATTTTTAATTTTTCGACACCTGTAAATAATTTAATCTCCACTGGTAGCTTTGCTTGTTATACAAAATAGAAGCGACATGGAGTAATTTTTCCTTGCCAAAAAAAAAGCGACATGTGACCCTCCCCCGGTTGGGAATAAAACAGGTTTGACCTTCCCCAATTTGTAAAAAATTTAAGAAACGTCCTTCCCTAAGCTTATGGGTTTATTCAAAGCGATATCAATTTTTCTCACCTCGATGGAAGAAGTAATTCTCTTGCGTTTGCTAGGGACCACTAAGTCGTCCTTGACTTAACGTTCTGGCGGTAACACATTTTCTTGCCGTCTGAACAAAGATCTCGGGACTGCTCGAAGTCGGCGAACTTTTGTGGCACCTTTACATTCTGTCTACGTGAGTTCCCCGTTCTGTCATTTCTCTCTGCTCCTTAAGCGTCTGATCAGCCTTCTCTTTAAAGACACTAAGCCCCTCGAAGAACTTTTCAAATTTGTCCAATTCCCTTCTACATTTCACGCACAAAACGGAAGAAGCAGTGCTCTCCTTGTTGACGGGAAATCCCAGCACAGATGACAACTTTGCGCTATATTTTGCTCTTTCGAACGGACACCGTCGAATAAGTTGAACTTTCCATATCCAGATATTATATAACAAATTTACATTTCACACTCTGCAAAAATTATTTACACTATATACACTATTTACAGACGTCAATCTTTTTACCGGAGTTATCGAAACACCGCTCACGAAATTCGCCATCCCTCAATTTCACTGCATTACGCGCCGTTTTACGCATCACTGCCCCTCGTGCAGACATGTCCAATTGCGAAAACAAACAGATCCCACAAAAAACCGGTTTAGCGAGTTATCTTGTTTCAAAAGTGAGGTTCGTAACTACCGTGACCAGATAAGGGTTTTTTCCCGCTCGTCACGATCGCAGCTTCGCCGCTCAAACAACAGGAAAAAAAACCTCTGGCACCCAGGGTAGTGTAAGATGTCATTCTGTGAAATTTGGCATTTATTTTCTGGGACTCTCATTAGAAATATTCTTTGGTGTTATTACAGATATCTAATTACATCAATAGCCCTTGAAAAATTTAAAAACGAAATTCATAGTTTAATCGTAGAATATACACCCAGGTATCGCGGGTGGCACGATTCCACATAATAGAACATAATGCGTGGGAAGGGCACAGAGTAGTACCACGCCGCCTGAAGTAGTTAACGGATAAGTAAAAACTGCCAACTCAAGAAACACCAGACATTTGGCCGGTCATTATGCGTGCCAGCAGCTGCTCTCGCCGCTTAACTCCAACTTACAAATTGCGACTAAAACTGACTTCTTGAGGATCAAAGAAGCTCCATAAAAAATCGCAGAAAAATTTTGAGATTTGACGCACTTAACTTGTTCTTTCACAGACTTTCAATTCGAAATATATCTTATTTTTTTTCTTGCTGTAGTATATAAATGATTGTACATGCAGAGATCCTCTGCTGTAAGAAAAGATTAATCTTTTAGTTATTAATCTTTACAAAGTATCTTAATACGTAGGCATTTCACTACATTCTTTTAACTTAACTTACCAACGATGCTTCCCTGATCAAAAACGTCTATGAAAAACAACGTCGCTTCGTCGATTTTGTGTCGACAAGTATACGGTCGATAAAGTAATGACCAGAGTAAAACGTTGGCGTCTCATTTTACTTGAACTTCTTTAATTAAAATAAATTTAATTAACAAAAGCGTTGTTTGTTAGTTTTCCGCAGTATTATTAAATGGAATTATTTAAAACCCATGGAGGTAATTTTTAAAAAAGTGGTGATTTTCAGTATCTATACTAGAAGTGGATTTGGTTTTGAACGCCAGGCTCTCTGCGCCCGTCTCGTGTCGAGCCTTAAGACCTTATAAGAAGTACCGGCCAAGAAACTAGGATTCTAATTAATCAATCGCTAGTTTTTTTAGGTCTTTCGACAAAACGTTGACAAATAACAAGTTTTGTAGCCTGCGTAGCAGGCGCTTGGAAGTAGTGGGCGAAAGAGAGAATGGGCGCGCGCGAGGGAAACAATGTAAACAAATCTACAGGGCCTATTGATAATTGCAATTTGTTTTTAATAGTTCTTATTAATACACTGTACTTGCCCCCTGCAATTTTGTTTATTTTTTGTGCCTAGTATGTAATTATCACAGATAAGAGTGAACTATTTAAGTATCAGTCTGTAGCAAAAACAACGGTAGCCTTAGTTACGGTTTCATTTTATTAAATTTATAAACTGCAAAATGTAAAAGCTACTCTCATGCTGACGTGCAATGTCAACGTTTTCTCTTAATACTTCATGGGCAGTTTTTATGTAGTTTCTCGATCACCTTTTCTTAGCTGAATTCAGTATGTATTTCGTTTGACTCCCGATGCTCGTACCCGTACAGCATAACGAAATTCAATAGATTTGTTGTGGCGGTGAATTTAGCACTGTTTCGGTGAATGAAAAAAATCATTTACACCTCAAGGCTCTAGTTTGGGCCTGCCTTTGTTGGGGCCAATAAAGTCCATATTTCTAGGACTGATATTGATCACCACTGAACAGACTGAGATGTGTCCCAGAGTGGGCTGGGATGGGTATTTAATAGGGTTCTTCTGGCTCAAATTGTGCTTAAGCGGTTGCACGAAAGGCTGAATCATCAGACTTTGGTTTGCAGGGATGTATTGACACCTTGTGTTAAAACAGATCATAAAAGAGGCGAGCTCGCCTGAGCCCAAAACATTCCCATAAAGTAGCGTAATTCGACACAGTACCGAATCTGTCTCACATACAACCTCAAAACTAGCAATTTTGAGTCCAAACGCGGGAAATAAAGTTGATGGCGTGGCCAAGCGTTGTATGGCTCTTCCGTGTACAAACTGAATTGGCGTAAAGGTGATGTAAGTATGCCGAAGAATTGCTTTAAATTCTTCTTTTACAACTTGATTTCCGACTGTCATAAAGAAATGATAAATGAAATGAATTAACGAACGATTATTTCAAACGATTGTACTCAAGGAAGAGTCGTAAGAATCAATTACACAAAGGCTTGTAACTGTGATATTTTTGCAAATGTTTTATTCGGTATATTCTAGTGTAGCCACAAACTATTAGAGATGTGTCGAACTTGAGAATAGGTGAACCCGACTTTACCAGTCAAAGTATATTCATTGTCTCGATTTTTATTAATTTTCTGGTAATTAGGATTGTTATACTGTCTTAATAGTATGTAAGATCTGTGTCGACAGGTATACGGTCGATAAAGTAATAGCCAGAGTAAACCGTTGGCGTCTCATTTTACTTGAACTTCTTTAATTAAAATGAATTTAATTAACAAAAGCGTTGTTTGTAGTTTTCCGCAGTATTATTAAATGGAATTATTTAAAACCCATGGAGGTAATTTTTAAAAAAGTGGTGATTTTCAGTATCTATAGTAGAAGTGGATTTGGTTTTGAACGCCAGGCTCTCTGCGCCCGTCTCGTGTCGAGCCTTAAAACCTTATAAGAAGTACCGGCCAAGAAACTGGGATTCTAATTAATCAATCGCTAGATTTTTTAGGTCTTTCGACAAAACGTTGACAAATAACAAGTTTTGAAACAATGTAAACAAATCTACAGGGCTTATTGATAATTGCAATTTGTTTTTAATAGTTCTTATTAATACTCTGTATTTACCCCCTGCAATTTTGTTTATTTTTTTGTGCCTAGTATGTAATTATCACAGATAAGAGTGAACTATTTAAGTATCAGTCTATAGCAAAAACAACGGTAGCCTTAGTTACGGTTTCATTTTATTAAAATTATAGACTACAAAAATTTAATGGAAAAGCTACTCTCATGCTGACGTGCAATGTCAACTCTTTCTCTTTATACTCCATGGGCAGTTTTTATGTAGTTTCTCGATCACCTTTTCTTAGTTGAATTCAGTATGTATTTCGTTTGACTCCCGATGCTTTTACCCGTACAGCATAACAAAATTCAAAAGATTTGTTGTGGCGGTCAATTTAGCGCTGTTTCGGTGAATGAAAAAATCATTTACACCTCAAGGCTCTAGTTTGGGCCTGCCTTTGTTGGGGCCAATAAAGTCCATTTTTCTAGGACTGATATTGATCACCACTGAACAGACTGAGATGTGTCCCAGAGTGGGCTGGGATGGGTATTTAATAGGGTTCTTCTGGCTCAAATTGTGCTTAAGCGGTTGCACGAAAGGCTGAATCATCAGACTTTGGTTTGCAGGGATGTATTGACACCTTGTGTTAAAACAGATCATAAAAGAGGCGAGCTCGCCTGAGCCCAAAACATTCCCATAAAGTAGCGTAATTCGACACAGCACCGAATCTGTCTCACATACGACCTCAAAACTAGCAATTTTGAGTCCAAACGCGGGAGATAAAGTTGATGGCGTGGCCAAGCGTTGTATGGCTCTTCCGTGTACAAACTGAATTGGCGCAAAGGTGATGTAAGTATGCTGAAGAATTGCTTTAAATTCTTCTTTTACAACTTGATTTCCGACTGTCATAAAGAAATGATAAATGAAATGAATTAACGAACGATTATTTCAAACGATTGTACTCAAGGAAGAGTCGTAAGAGTCAATCACACAAAGGCTTGTACCTGTGATATTTTTGCAAATGTTTTATTCGGTATATTCTAGTATAGGCCACAAACTATGAGAGATGAGTCGAACTTGAGAATAGGTGAACCCGACTTCACCAGTCAAGTTATATTCATTGGGTCGATTTTTATTAGTTTTCTGGCAATTAGGATTGTTATACTGTCTTTAATAGTATGTAAGATCTGGAACTTTTTTTTTTCCTCTAGATTTAATATCGAAAGTATTAAGGGACGAAGACCTGAATTTAAACACTCAATTTTCTTTTCTATATTTTTTATATTTCAGAACACGAAAGTAAAACGTTTGTATGAACTTGCCTGAGTTTGACTCGTGCTTCTAGCTTGGGCTTGGTCAATTGTACGCACTGATACCTTTCTCGAGCTCCTTCGCGGTAACTGACGATCAAGAACATGAATTTCGACAAACCAAAATTCGTTTTAGATTTAGGAGATCTAAGTGATTAGGTGTTCCACCCTACACGACTTGCAATGTTTGTGTCGCCAAAAGTGTTGTACGATTCTTATATTTCAATTATTCCAGTTCGAGTTTCTCACAACGACTGCGGCAAAGCTGTCACAAAAATACGCATCATTAGAGAAACTCTGCATTCAAGGGATTTTAAACTCGGTACCGTTCCTTACAGCTACTCTCGGAACTTGAAATTGCGAGGCAGTTTGCAAGAATTTTTTTTTTAGCGTAATGGAGCCTTATTTGCCAGTTAGATCAGAGGAATCGGGTGAGACTGGGTGGTCGCATCAAATTGCACTATGGCGGGGCTGTTTTTTCAGGGACGCTGTTGGTTCGTTAACGAGAGCGTTTTCGTTACATGAAATGCAAATTTATTGGAACAAAAGAAAGGGTTTGCAAAAGAAAGGTCACAGTGGCCCACTTGCCGAGATATCGTTGTCAGCCCAACTTCTTATATAAACTGACAGCGACAGTTTAAAGTGCATCAAGCTATGAGCTCGCAGGGTCAGTTAACGTAGCGTAACCGGGTTGGCTCACCTCCATGATAAAGAGGCCCTCATCTTTCGTCCAACTCTGTTAGGGCCTCGCATGTTTACCTGGAAGTGGGGGACCCCAGATAGGTGAGGTAACATGTGGCCGGTCACTCCACCTATGATGTAAGCGTGACCATATGAAAATGAGAAATTATATGGACAGGCGGGTTATCTCACCTACCTCCCCCGGCCTCCGTGAAAACAGGCCCTCAGATCCAGTTACAAATCGTTACCTTTTCTTGCATTTGTTCCGATGTTCCAGAAGTGATCAAACTTCCTCATTTTTGTCCAAACTTTTCACCATCTAAAAAAGGTCGATTACTCTCTGCCTTCTTCAAAACCTCTTGCCTTAAACTTGAAAAAAAAGCGCGACAGTTTTTTGCATCTAGGCCAAGGTGAGAAAAAAAAAAAGAAACTGAAATTTCGATTTACATAGCTTGTGTGCATTTATTTTAGGTCCTTAACACCTGTCACTCTACATGTGATAGTATCTAATCCATTAATCAACGAGCATAATCCGATTGCAATAAGTCATGTTTCGCATTTGTGACGCAATGTGGTTGTAACCACGATGCAGATTCCTGTCCACAAAAGAGACTAAAACAATTGAAAAGGTGCTTGAAAGTTAATTTCGGGAAACAATACTCAAAACGAGTCTCAACAAAGATTCAACCGTGCCGTTCCTATTTACTTTTCCCCTGTACTCGTCCTCTAAGGGAAATGGAGAAAGCCTATGCCAATGCCTACGCCTAAATCTTTAAGTCCACGTTATTCCGCGCGGCTTACATGGTCCGCCGTTCCTCTTGTCTACGTCAACAAAATGCATTGACCGAGAAGGCCTGTGGAGACGCCGTACAGGAAGCCCATAATTAACAGCTGACAACAGTCGACAACAGAGGAATTAGGGTCCTTGTGGTGAGAGCCCTAGGGGCCTCCTCCAGATCTGCCACTGTATGTTATTTACTGTTTGACAAATCATGAGCGTTTTTTTCTCTATTTTTTCTCTTTATTCACTTTCTTTTTCATCGAGGCACAAGGAATACAAGCACTTTAGAAAGTTAAGCCTACAACTACACCTCCACCTTTAAAATTCTACAGCCTCGAAATTTCACTTGGAAGGTGCACTTCATTGTTGCCTCATCGCAAGTAGACTGCCAAGACATCTGCCTCTTCAACATTGCCTGAAATTAGGGAAAACGTATTGTGGATCACAGGAATAACCACAGAGGGAGAAAAGAAAGAGGGAGCTGCACCGTACATTTCTTAATAAAAAGACTACATGTATTATTTTTTGGGGGGAGAAAACTAAGTTAAAAGGTGTTTATAAAAGCTGAAATGTAGGAGGGGAGGAAAATGGCCGAAAAGACTTCATATTTTCACCCTTATGAACCTAATGCACAGTCTTTTGAATGCGGAGCAGACTCTCTGCTCCACTAGGTGCAGAATCGATAGGCTTCACAACGAAATACAAAGCACTCGCTCGACTGCAGGGTATTTGATCAATTATAAACGTCTCGATAACCTACTATTCCAAATGTATAGAGAGAGGAGAGAGAAAAATTATCTTAATAGTGGAACATTTGGCTTAATTTACAGGCAATCAAACTTTCGGTTATCGAACTCAATCAAACTCTACTCGTTCAATTCACTTCGACTGGGTACGGTAATCGAACATAATCGACCCATTGTCCCCGTTTCAGGGCACTCTGGCTATTTCCAATGAGCTTGCTTGGCATTGGGGACGGTGTGCCAGGTAAACATGCCCATTATCGGGATACCAGGACCCTGGATTGTTTAATGATTTACTCACCGTATTGGTTCCAGTTGGTAAGAACAGACCGCTTGCTGTAAAGGATCACGTTCTGACGAGGCTGGAAACGCTTCTTCCAATCACAGGATGGAGGTGACTTTGCGATTATCGCCATCCACCCAGCATCTTTAGAACAACCCCCATAGTTACTGTTGATGAGGAAGTGACGGCCGTTGCCTGGATCTCCATGGATTGAAAAGTAGTTGTTTGGCTGAGTCTTCATGTCAGTCCAGGAGCTCTGATTCAGCCTGGAGAATGAAAACCAGTTGAGTTTGTCTGATCCCTTGGCGTTGAATTTCAACTCCTTCATCAGCTTTCCTATTTTATACAGGACAACTCTCGCCTTTAGGAAATCAAGCAAAAATAGAATTTAACTGAATTCTTAGGCCACGTTCCACATGAATCCGAATATTTTTGAAACCGCTTATATTATTACACGAATTAGCCTTTCGTCCACACCAGCGCGCTAGCATGGGCTTCTGTCCACACGAAACCAGTGAATATGTTCACCGAGACCGCGTATTTTTGAAACGGTTCTCGATCCAGAGTGATTTGAGACCCCGTTGACACGAATCGGGGTAAATCACTATGTGGTTTAAATATGTCCCGGCAAATTCGTATGGACGAGGCCTTCATTCTATATTAGTAGCTTTGAAAGTAAAGCAAACTCCTAAATTAATTGCTTTGCCCTTGTCAGACACGCAAGTAGGGACAGAAACAAACAAACAAACTAACAAAAGCAAATGAAATTATATTATTTATAAGTTGTTGACCATAAATTATATTTTCTTTGCAGCAAGTCATTTTCATTTAATGCGGGATCATTATATGCAATTTTCGGCATGACAAAAGCAGAAGACATGTCATCAATACCCTGCAAAGGGCAAGGGGGGATAAAGGCGAGCGAGATCGCGAACGACGCACGAGGATGAAGGTACTCGCGCGAATTGCCGCCTTTTCCTTCCCCATCAAACGTCTGCCTAGCCTGATATTCAGACGCTCCAGGTCACTCGCTTTCACGTACGCTTCCACATATTCTCTCGTAGTCCACGAGCAAGCTGCAGGAGCTTCTGAGACCCTGTGAGGGTTCCCTGTCTGTCATGCAGGTTATAGAGCATTTTACTGGCAGATTTATGAATGCAATATTACAGCAGAAATAAAATGAAATATGTAATAGCTCCGTTGGTCCAATGTCTTGCCACTTTAAAACGATCCTGTTTTTGTAGTGGTTAAAGTGCCTGTTAGTGACTTCAAGAGCTGCAAAGACTTTCTCAGAGTATGTCTGGTCAGATGTGTATGTACTACACACGTTTTTATTCACTCCAGACACAACCATAAACGCCATTGTCCAGCCTATAAATAGCAGAAGAAACAAAAGTCTGTAAGAACAAAGGAATAGACCAATTTTGATCATGATGTATTACAATTCATACTTGGCTCCGAGGCTTGGGGGAATAATACAAACGAAATGTGCTATTCATTGCTGAGCCTTAAGCCCTCGCAGCCAAGTATGAATTTTTAACAGTCAATAGCTTTCATTCGGATACAGAGTATTCACTTTAGACTCTTCCGGATTTAAAATATTCGGGCACACCACAAGGTCGAGACTTTTACTTCGAATTTACCAACTTTACGCAACTATGTATGCAAAACACCCATTTCCGAGTCGCCCGAAGCAGAGTGATATCTATTTTGGATACTTTAGTTTTCACGTCCCAGTCCATAGATATTTGCAAATTCCAATTATATTTTCGTTAAGACTAACATTATGTTTTACATGTTAGAGACGGCGTTCTTTTAGGTATTTCACGGGCGCGGAAATGCAATTTTCTCGCTGAACGAATCAATTAAGATGAAACTGAATTACTTACCTCCAGCGGCCATATCACAGTATACTGGGAAAGGCTTCTCATCATCTGTAAGTATAAGATAGATAGATAGATAGATAGATAGATAGATAGATAGCTTTATTAAAAATCCATTGCAGTCCAAGGGCTGGATTACGGACTATACAATACGTTGAATACTAAGACTAACTATTATAAATCAATAACAGTAAATAAATAAAACAAAGGAACAAAGATACTACGTCATGAAATTTAAGAAAATAGCCGCGAATTTACAATAAAACCATTAGAAAATAGCCGCGTTATGCATGATAAAACTATTCATTAGTCTATTTGTTCTACAAAGAGGCACGTTAAAAGCGCGCTTTCTCCTTAAGGATACAGTACTAAGATTACGTGGCGGCAAAAGGCCATGTAATTTGTGGAGGCTGTTGTCCTTAATCTCATTGAATAGGCGCTCTGTCAGCCATTGGCGCCGTTGATGGAGGGTGGTAATATTGCACTCTTTGAGAGCCTCTTGATAGCCTAAATCTGGGAAAATAATTCTAAGTGCACGGCGCTGAATTTTCTCTAGCTCTTCAGAGAGATACTCAGGCAGACCATTGTGGAAAACTTGGCAGGCATATTCAGACATGGGCCGGATACACGTAGTATAGAAACAAAGTAGCTGCGCAGGATCTCCTTTTGCACGCTTAAGCTGCCTTAATAGATATAGCCTAGAGGCTCCTTTTTTGATAACATTCTCTATGTGAGCGTTCCACTTTAGATTGTTTGAAATTGTGAGACCAAGAAGTTTTGCGCTAGTTACAACCTCGATTGGTTTGTTGTTAATAGTAACTGCTTCGAAAGGATCTACAGACCTTGAGAGACTTATCTGCAACTCTTTACACTTGGTCTCATTCAATTGGAACTTATCTATTTCGGCTTGCCTAACTAGGTCGTCTACAGCAAATTGGATTCCACTTGGTTGGCCCTTGTGGACTGTCTCGTCCATCGATGTGTCATCGACGTACTTCCAAAGGTTGACGCCATTGACATTGATGTCATTTATCATTACCAGGAAGAGCCAGGGCCCCAATTTGGTTCCCTGCGGGACACCTGCCCTGACAGATCCCCAATCCGAGTAGCCATCGTGGGCGAGTTTCACTCGTTGCTTCCTGTCAGTAAGAAAATCTGCAATCCAATCCAGCACCCAAGGTGGTAGCTCATAGTCAGTAAGTTTAGCCATAAGAATGGCGTGGTCGATGAGATCGAATGCTTTCCTAAAGTCAAAGAGCACCACGCGCACTGTACCTAGTCCCTGGGCCAAGGCGACTCTGCGCGGCCCATGTGTTTCGGGTCACGTAGTCCACCGTTCGCCTTGTCAGTACGTCACCGAAATGCATTGACCCAGAAGGCCTGGTAAGGCACCGGTCAGGACATAGGCTAGAGAAATCACATAACAGACGACAACAGAGCTAGTGGGGAACCGGCCCGGCCTTGGGATTTTTTTTTTTTTTTCCCTGTGGGGGCCCCAATTTGGCCTAAAAGAAAAGCTGAAAATAAGTTGAGAGTCCGGGGTCCTCCTCTAGATCTCTTGAGGTCTGCCACTGTATGTAGACTATATTATTTAGCATACTATACTCGGCAATGTAACTGAAAGCAAACACATAAGTATGAGCCTTTTTTCTCCATTATTTCTCTTCATTCACTTCCTTTTTTATTGAGGCACTAAGAATACACATTAGAAAGCTAAACTCACAACTACAAGTCCCCGCCTTAAATGCTACGCTCTCGAGATTTCTTGGTAGGCACACTTCATTGTTGCCTCAGCGCAAGTAGACTGCTAAGAAATCTGCATCTTAAACAATATCAAAGTAAAAATAAGGATAGATTGTGGATCTTAAGATGACACAGTAATAACCACCGAGCGAGAAAAGTAAGAAGAAGCTGCACCGTACATCACTAATAGAGTATTATTTTTTTCGGGGGGGAGGGAGGGGGGGTGGAGGTACCTTTCCAAATTTATGGATACAGGAGGGAGGAACTTTCATTTTTTTTGCTGGAAGTAATTCAAATCAATATTATTTGGCTTAATTTACTGCCGCGCATTAGTCAATCGAACGTTTGTAATTGACCTTCAATAATTCGATTGACTTCGGAAATTGAACATAACCGAATCATTGTCTCCCTCTCTTGGCACTCTGGCTATATAATTTCCAATCGGTCATTATCAACACAGACTGTAGACTGCGGACTGCGGACAACGAGAACCAACCTACAACAACGTCCATTCCTTTCTAGACTCGCTTTAAAAAAGTATTCCTGTATTAGAAAATTGAAGACATCAACATTGAACAGTGTTTATGTCTTGCCGTTTTGCAGAAAGATTAGTTGTCCTTTCATAAAAATTTACTTTTACGGCTTAGTAATATATAAGGAAGAAATAGGGCATCAAAAAGTTTTATTATTGCATATGGAAACTGGAAGCTTGTTAAATTCACGATAGCGTTTTGTACCAAATATATATATTGATCTTCTGTTTTCTCTGCAGATAATTATTTGGAAATTTAAAAACTTCCATTTGAGTTTAATCTTTCCTTCTTACTCATTTTGAATTCAAACGACAAATACCTTTCTACACTTCCATACCCGATTCCTGATAAAATTTGGGCAAAATCTATACCGGCCATCTGTTTTTGGACCGGTATGACGCGAAAACCGTACCCTTTGGGGCAGCAAATACGATATGGATTATTCCCCTACCTCCAACCCCGCATCCACCCCAAGGAGAGAGGGGGGGGGGGGGGCGGTTTTGCAAAAAGACATGAGTGTAAGTTTTGAAATATTCCGAATGCACCAATCAGTCTCTTCAGGGTTGTATTAAATGTGCCAGGAAAATCGGCCTTAGTGTGAATTTCACTTTTAATTAATTATTTTCAGGGTCAATCTGTTGTTTTGAGAAGCCGGCAAACTTTGATTGATTTAGTCAAGGATGCCTGCGTTTCAAGTTGCCAACAAAACTGTTACTTTTCTAGGACCCAATGAACATTTCTAGACAAGTTGTGAAATTCGCTCTTAGACTACTAACATTAAAGATTGAATTAACGTGCATGCATTTCGAAATTTCGTCGACCGCTTTTGAGCTGGGAAAGTACTCAATCCAACAGGAAGACAGTACTGGAAAGTTTGCGCAAGAACAACAGGCAGAATTCCCCCCCAGTTCGGGACTCATTCGCACACAGCCGAACTGAGAGGAGCGGGTCATAGGCTTTCTGATTACAAATTTAAAACCCCCTTTTCCCACCGAAATGTTCGTTCTTCCTTTCAACAAGTCACTAAAATGCTTGCTTTTGTTATTGATTCCAAACGTTTTAACAACTAGGGTTTTAACGCTTAACAGAAAACGTACAATTGGCAAATTCAGCAACGAATTCTTAAAATCACCCTCTTAACCGCTGTATTTGGGTGGCATTCAAATTTTTTGAATTTCGAGTTTAAGTCTTCAGTATTCTTATTAGTTTTTTTTTCTAATTTCTTTTAATTCTCTGAACAAAAATTTATTTTCTGGAAAAATGCTTTAATGCTGGAAAAATGCTTAATCCTTTCGGTTGTTTAAAATGGTAAAAAAAATGCTAATGCCACCCAAATACAGACGTTTAGAGGATTATTTTGAACTTGTATTCGTTGCTAATATGCCAATTTATTGTATGTTTTTCGTCACAACTACGTATAGCCTGGTCACTGAGGAACAATTAACTTGACAGCTAACTAATAACAATCCGGAGGAAAAGCATTGATTGCCATGATATGTTTTAAGCAGCGAAATCAGTGGTGCCCCTATTTAAGTTCCTGTTGTTTCTTTTAAGCCGTTCAACTTTTTTTATGTATGCACTAACTTAGTTACTTGTTTGGCAAAAAAGGGAGAGAGAGCTGAAAGAAAGAAGAAAAAAATTAACGTCAGGCTTTTTCGTTCTTTAAACTCTTTATTCACTTTCGTTGCAAAACATCGAGGCTCAACGAATACAAGCATTGGAAAGCTGTTACCTCAGCGCAAGTAGACTGCCATAACATCTGCCACTCCAACATTGCCTAAAATCAAAATACATACATACATACATGGGAGTTAGTGGGTGTTAGGCTGAAGTGGAGGAGGGGAGGAAAGAAGACAAGGGGACTTCATTATCTTCTTTCGCCTTATTGCATACTCGTTATAAACATACTCTCTAAACCGCTTCCCAGAATTAATTGCGACTACCATGGTTCAAGGAAATACGTTAAGCCAGCCGCGCCCAAAAAATGCACCTGCAGCACAGGGTATTTGATCAAGTAACAACAACTTCCCAGCCTTGCTATAACAAATGTATGGATACAAGAAAGGAGAATTTTCATCTTGATAGTGTGGACTATTAAAAAACGTTTGAGCGTTGGTCTTTAGGGCCACTATCATCTCCCTTCGCCTTCAGCATTAACATTTCCAGTGCCCTTGCATGACACGGGCAAAGAATAATAATAAGAGAAGTCGTCTGTTTGTTCGCTCGTTTTTTCTACTCACTGTAAGTGTTCCAATTGGTGTAAACAGTTTTGTTGCTGTACAGTATAACATTCTTGCGAGGCAAGAAACGTGCCTCCCAAGTGCAGAAGACAGGTCCAGAAACCAACATCCACCCGGCATCAGCACTACATCCCCCATAGTTCCTGTTGATGAAGAAGTGGCGATAATCTTTTGGCTTTCCAACGATAGAAAAGTAATTCTTTGGCTCACTCTTGATATCAGACCAGGGGCTCTGACTCAATCTGGACAATGAAAACCAGTTGAGTTTGTCCGATCCCTTAGCATTGAATTTCAGCTCCTTCATCAGCTTTCCTCCTTTATAGAGAACAACTCTTGCCTTAAAGAAATTACAAACAAACGGGAAGATTTATTGAAACGACTGGCGTGAGCGAAATAATGGGACTTGTAGTAAGTCCATTTCGAGACTACTAGCAACACAATAAAATAAAATGAACAAGGATTTTTACTCAACTTTAGGTTGCTAACGGTACGGTGCTGTTTGTCAGAAAAATGCTTCATGAAATATACACACGAAGAAAAAGAAAAACATT